AACAACAATGAAAATTTGGTACAAAGCAATTTATATAAGGGTCTGTGGATAACAAGGTCAAACCTGCGAAAACATGGACCCCTTGTCAAAAGACTTGCATACCCTACAGGTCACACGATTCCCTGAAGCCTAACAAACCAAACACAGTGAAAGCTGGACTCTTTAGATGATTGTGAATTATGAGCATTTGTGCGTGTGTGCATGCATGCGTGTGTGTCTGTCTGTCTAAACCATTTAGCAATTAAGGGCAGAGTTAGGGGAGAAATTCTGGCCCTGTCTGTCTGTCTTAACTATTTAGTAATTAAGGGCAGAGTTAGGGGTGAAGTTCTGGCCCCATCTGTCTGTCTTAACTATTTAGTAATTAAGGGCAGAGTTAGGGGTGATGTTTTGGTCCTAATATTTATTAGCTGGCCTGTTTCCTTCCTTAAACTAGGAGAACTACTACCATGATACATGGAACATGTCAAGTCCTAGCAAAGTGTCAGGCTGACGGAAGTGTTAAGTCGACTGTCACTATTACATCCCAGCCGTCACTGCCAGGCCTCCTCCTCATAGTAGTAGAGGCACCGAGGAAAAAGGTGCATAAACCTAAGTCCTAATTTTCTTCCTCTGAGTTTCAACTACCTGGAGAAAGATCATCAGATGTCTGGGATGGTGAGCAAACTGTCAGAGGGGTTCTCTCATGGATAATGTTCCAAACAGTATGTCTCTATCAGGTTTCTGAACATACAGATAACAAAGTGAAGAAGGGTGAGAAGCCTCCTTTGGGTTTTATATATAAGCACAATAAAATATATTTTTCACTAAAATGTTTCTAGAAAGATTACCAGAAAACTCAGTGCCTGGGCAGAAGTAATACCTGCCTAATCTTTTACCAAATAGTGTATTCCCTGTGCTACCAAAGAAATGCTTTTCCCAGTAAACATAAATTACCCACAAAGAGGCTAGCCTTTCAGAGAAATTATTTTTGTTTCTCAAAGGTAGTAGTCAAGTGTTCATGGTTCCTTGCATTTCGTGGGATAGAAGGCTCTCTGTGAACACAGATGAACTAGCTACTGTGTATGAAGAACTGAAACTTTCTGTAATTAACAAAACGAGAAACCTTTTCCAAGACAAATATATCCCCCAGGAATATCAAGAGAGCCCCGTATAAATATATCAGTTGCCAATAGCTCTAAAATTTTCTAGGTGGGTCAATCAATCAGAAGAACTTAATGCAATAATTTCCTGGATGGATTACCAACAATACATTAAATGGTAACATTTGCTTAAGTAATGTATCACTTAAGAAACATATCAGTATTCTTTGGTGCTCTGTATCAGTCTGGTAGATTATTCTATACTATAAAGACAGAAAACCCAGTTCACTTTGGACAAATGACTGTACAATATCATACAAGCAAATTTGAATTCTCTGTGACACAAGTGAAAACTTTAGGTATCAGATTTCATTAGGGTTTTGGCCTTTTTGACTAGTAACCAGAAAACAATTTTAGATGTTCTGTAAACATCGACTTATCAGTGTTGGGGGAGTAAAATGCAAGCAGTCTAACAGGACTAAGAAGAGCCATGGGCTTGAGCACAGGGTGTGAACCAGCTGCTGCCCTTGGGGGTGCAGGCAAGACCACCTCAAACAGCGGGCTAGCCTGGGCTACACACGAGGCCCATGTCAACACACTGTGTGTGAACACACACACACACACACACACACACACACACAGACTTGTCCATTGGGGGCAAGATTATTCTTAAAACATTTTTTTCTCTGATATTGAATAACTTAGGAAATAGTAAAATAATTCAGAAGCACTTTAGTAGTACATAAACATTAGTTTATGTTAATGTGCAAATTTTCTCTACTAAAAAAAATTTGTCCTTTATAATGGACAATAAATACTACTCATTTAGTAGCTACAATTATAATTAATATTCTGAAGAGTATTTTTCCAAACTGGTTAGGAAAAGCTCAACAAAATTTGAGAAAGCAACAACTTCCTATCCAATTTTGATTTTAAGGCCTAGGAGTCTAGTTCTCCATACTGTCTAGGGTCCAGATTTATGTAGATGGAGGAGTTTTTGTTTTAAGCTATTGAGAACTGTGAAGTCACTTCAGATCTTAAATCATCATTAGTGTTTACAACAGCTATCCCATACGAAAATCAAGCTCTGGTCCTAAGTAAGCTTGTAAAGACAGCATCACCTCCTCCACGGAACAGATTTCTTTCTAGGTACCTGTACACGAGGCTGTAAATCAAGAATGGTGAAAAGGGGGCTGTGGACAGGGCTCAGTAGGTCAAGTTCCAGCTGTGCAAGTGAGAGGTGTGAGTTCAGATTCCCAGCACCACACAAAAAGCTTGGTGTGGCAGGCGGTTGGTAGAGACAGACAGATCTCCAGGGCTGGCCCGTCCAGTCTAGCCAAATGGTAAGCATCCAAGTTTAGTGAGAGGCCTTGTCTCAAAAACTAAGGTAGAGAGTGACAGGGAAGACATCCGATATTAACCTTTGGCCTCCACATGAGCACACACTCACTTGTGGGTATGTATACACACACACAGAGTGATAAAAGAATAGGGTCTTTCTTGTCCCTACAGGCAAGGCCCATCATATGGGGCTCTCCTGACAGAGGTCTCTGCCATTAGAAAGCTACTCTCACATTATTACAAAAACAACTACCTAACTAATAAAAGAACTATATATGCCTGGGCAGTGATGGTGCACACCTTTAATCCCAGCAGAGGCAGAGGCAGAGGCAGGTGGATCTCTGAGTTCGAGGCCAGCCTGGTTTACAGAGTGAGTTCTAAGACAGCCAGGACTACACAGAGAGACTCTGTCTCAAAAAATCAAAATCAAAACAAAACGAAAACTCTCTATATAGCAGGGCTCAAATACATCTTCAGAGCTGAACCACTAGGGGGAGCTCGATTTCCCCCTGAACTGCTCTCCAGCCAGCAAGCACACACTAAATGTCAACTTAAATAAATTTACTCCGAGCCATTTTAAGTTAAAGAACAGAGGTACAGAATAGAGACATTTTTATATAAGTATGTATTTTTTTAGAGTAGATATGGGTTTCTATGTATATAACACTACTCTTTAGAAACTTCCAAAAATAGTAAGGGCATCCAACAAAGAGGTTCTGAAGGCTGGTGACAGTAATGAATGAGACTTCACTTGGTTACCCACCCATAAACTTGAATCACTCTCATGCACATACAATTTCAAATATAAAGGAAACATACATTGTGTTTTGGAGTCACCTACACATAAAGACATTTTTGTTGAAGGGGAATGGAAAACAAAGATAAACCCTAGTTCCCTGCCTGTCTCTGGAGGTTACTGCTGTCTTTGCCTAATCTAAGTTTGCTACATTGCAGTTTAAGTTTTTGGTCCTTCATATTATTTTACTCATTAGTGAGTGAATCATACCTGGATAAATGACTGTGTCTGTGAGTAGAAGATACAAAATTAGAGTCTCTTTATTTAAATTCCTCATCAACACGCTTTCAGTTAGCAGCCTTGTCTCTATAATTGCCTCTGGCCCTCACTCTCTGGAAAAGAGCTGTCTCAGGTCTCTAACAAGAAACATGTCATCAGTTCGTTTCTCATTGTTTAATAAGGGTGAGGAGGAGTTGCTTACCTCAAAGGCAACTTGATCTAGATTGTGCTGTTCAAGGAGATATGTAGACAAAACTAAAGTCGGAAGCAAAGTTCCACTGAAGGCTGGAGGAAGAGCATGACCCTCGGCCTCTGAAGACATACTGAGGAGTTTTGTTTCCACTGTCCTCTGGTGGTAGGGACAGCACCCAAGGCTCGCATACTGTAACCAGGCAGTGCTCTAACTCAGCTACATGTCTAGCTGAGATAAACTGAGTTTTAATGTTAACAAGAATACTTGAGGTTATCCTTTACTCTGGTTATAATAGTTATAAATAAAAACATTAAGGAGCAGTGAGCTGACCCAAGGCCTCACATACCACCAGGCAGTGCTCTAACTCAGCTACATGTCTAGCTGAGATAAACTGGGTTTTAATGTTAATAAGAGTACTTGAGGTTATCCTTTACTCCGGTTATAATAATTATAAATAAAAACATTAAGGGGCAGTGAGCTGTGTTAAAACTATCTTTGGAAACGTGTGCGACCTGAGATGAGTCTAAGACACTGCACTGGAGAGAGACCTCAGCACTCTGCACACACATCCTCATCCCACGACTGCAGACAGTGGCCATGGCTACTGTGCCCAGGCTGTGGGGATGTCAGCAGCACGCCTGACCTCTGCCCACTAGCTACTGGCAGCATCTTCCTAGTCGTGATGACAGAAAATGTTTCCAAAAATTGCCAAATGAACCCTATAGTGAAAAAACTATTTTAGAGACAAAGAAAGCAAAATTACAGAGATGTTCTTGTGAGCGTGTGTATTTGTTTTCCTTAGACTTGGGATAAGTTTCTAAAGTGTTCAGCAATTAAACCAATTTTGCAAATTACAAGTGAATATTATATGTAATATGTAAATCCATGCACCACTGGGAGTAAGAATAAGAAACTTTGACAAACAATTACTAAAAAACTAAATGTGTTGAATTTTTCAATGGTCTTTCAACCCAGCAGAAACAAAAATCAATAATATTAGAAAGCCTTCATCTAAGTTATATATTTTCCTAGATTTATCTTTATTTTGATAGAGGATACCAGTACCTTCAAGAAGTGGGAACCACTTGGATTAGTGGTAGCTCCGAATCATAAACCTGAAACACTTATGTTACAGAGAGTAAAAGAAAATAAGCCTCATTAAAAGAGCATTCAGACAAAGCAATGACAGCTGTGGGTGTCCTGGTCTTGCAGTGAAACCGATGAAGAGCTGTGGGGCTGTGCGGTCTATCTCATGGCCACGGGAGTGGTGCTCCGGGGAAGATGTACCAATCCTTAGGACTGATCTTGATAATCTTCGTACAAATGCCACTGCGTGCCTTCTAGACCAACTTAGTAAGTGCGGGCTACTTACTTCCAGTGAAGGCTATCCATCGAGCATACTTTGTAGCTTCTCTTCGCCAGTGGGAAGCCACCAGCAAACCACATGTGACAGTCAAGGAAATGATTCCCATGATGATAAAAAACAGGGTGGTGACCCACTCTGGGGGAAGTCGGGGAGGGATGCAGGTCCGGTCTCGTCCATGGATTGTTTGACACTGCCGCACTAGGCCCACAGTGAGTGCTCCTAGGAAGATGCAAAGGTGGGGGATACTTTAGTAAGTCTGGCACACCCAGGGACTATTCCCCACGAGACCTCTTTCATACTTAAATCCTGTTGGTATCGTGGGGGTAATTCAATCATTTAATTCGGGAGTTCTCTTCAGCAGTTTGGTGCTGTTTATAATGTGACAATGCCTGGATTAATGTAGAAAATGAACATAAGCAACAAGAACAAGCCTCCAGAACCATAAAAGACAGTGAATTCTGTCATTTATTGAACAAATACATTTCTTTCTGTCACGACAGTTTTTCTACAGTGACCAGACCATAGTCCGGGTTAACTGGACACCATCAGGAGTCTGCCTTCTAAATGTTTTTTTCAAAGTACAAGTGTCAGGCACTGATCTGGGCTCCAGGGAAACATCAGCCAAATTGCTGGCTGAGGCTCCATCCCTTCTTAAGCTTGCACACTGGCAGCAAGAGCTGGGTTTTTCTCCTTCTGGATTCAAGACTCACTGTATAGTACTTTATTTTGGCTGAGGAAGATGTATGTATAGGAAATTAGACACAGATTTGACATACATGTAATGATAATATCTAACAGGAAATAATGCATTAAACACCGAGGTGAACGTTATCAAAAGTAAAAGGTCTGGCTCACCATTATTATTATACAAGAGTTAACACTGCCGCACCCTTACTGGCATGTATGAACAGGAAAACAAAAGTTATGAAGGCAAGCTGTAAAGTACCCCTGCTATCCTTAATTTAAAACACCGTTATTATTACTATGATATTAACCTGTAGAGCAGTGTGAAAGAGAAAGTGATGTGTGTGCGCGCGCACAGGGCAGGGAGGCTGAGGGCAGCTTGTGGAGCTGGCTCTCCTTTCTATTCACCCGGGTCCCAGGGATCACACTCTGTGGTTGAGCCTGAGTGCAAAAGCTGTAATCCTGAGCCCTCTTACCATTCCCTCCCATTCAGATAAGTGAATTGACTTCTGTGAAGTACCAAGTGCCATTTGGAGGGCATTTATTTTAGAGAAACCCAGATTAGGAAGGTAAAAGACTATTTTCTCTTTTTCCACACAAAGAATTAAAATTTACTTCCAAATAAAAGCTATCCCCTCAGCAAGAATGACTGCAAATAGGGAGCAGCTACCAAACCGTTAAGCGTAAACCCGAAAAGCCGCTGAAGACAGCAGATTCTTGCCTCTTTTGGGGGAAGGGGTGTCTTTCTTAGCTAGCCTTTTGTTTCCAATATGAATAGTCCCCTCCCCCTAGTCCACAGTGACACTCCCTCAGAATCATGGCACTTGCCAGGAACAGGGCCTTCTCAAGGAACCGGGGCTGGATCTGTCTGTACAGAGTGTGTGGGTAGGTGGGCTTCTTAGGAAGGGGTGCTTTGTACAACTTGCATCTTTCCATCAATCCAGTTTTAGAAATAAAGCATGTGATAAAAAGAGAAACATGGGCTGGAGAGACGGCTCAGCTGTCAAGAGCACATACTGCTCTTGCAGAGAACCCAAGTCGAGTTCCCAGCACCCACTGTAGGGTGCCTCACAACTGCCTGGAACTCCAGCTTCAGGATCTGAAGCCCTCTTCTGACCTCTGTGGATAACTGCACTCACTTCTACAAAGACACACACACACACACACACACACACACACACACACACACACACCCCTAAACTAAAAAAAAAAAAAAAAAAAAAAATCTTAAAAAGTAAAGTAGGTCTTGGGAAAGGGCTCACTGGGTGAGGTAATTGCTGAACAAGCCTGGGAGCTGGGTTTGGCTCCTTAGATCCCACTAGGGACAAAACAATACCAGTCTGCAACCCTAGTGTTGGAAGGTGGAGACCAGAGGTTTCTGGTGTTTTGCTGGCCACAGACTAGCTGAATCTGTGACTGCCTCAGTGAGAGATCCTGTCTAAAAAACAAACAAACAAACAAACAAACAACCTAGCAAACTCATATGCACCTTTCCCACACCATGCACATGATCAAAACAAAACAAAATACTAAAAAAGATTTAGAAAAAAAGGGTGATGAAAAAGTTCTCTCAAAAATGAGTTGTGGGGGTGGAGAGATGGTTCAGTGGTCAAGAGCACTGGCTGCTCTTTCAGAGGTCCTGAGTTCAATTCCCAGCAATCACATGGTGGCTCACAACCATCTATAATGGGATCTGATGCCCTCTTCTGGTATAATGCAGACTGAGCACTCATATACAGAAAATAAATAAATTAAAAAAAAAAGTTATGGTCTCCCCTCTTCTCCAATGCTAACTCTACCTGGTCCGAACTCTGAGAAGATAAACAAGCTGTACCTTTTCTTTTAAATCAAATAATTAAGTACATCTGACGAATCCTGCACAGGCGCAAGCAACATGGGAACAACAATGGGGACTGTCACGGCAGCACAGAGACCAAAGTGAGCAAACCTTTACAGGACTGCCATCCACAGGCCCTAGCTGCTGCGTGGAACCCAGAGACTTACAAAGAGTAGGCACCAGGGGGGTTACATGACTTCCTAGACAGTCAAAGTTGACTTTGAATGATAAGTTGAGGTGGGGCAGAGCCTCACTATGATAAAGCACTATAGTGTAACTCTGGAAATAAAGAAGGCATTCACAGCTGTGCCCACAAACTCCTAACAGGAAGCCACTCCTGCTCATTCAGCAAAAAGACTTCTAACAAACTACTCTCTTGTAGTGGTAGTTCCATTTCTAAAAGCTGAACAGTAACGATGAAAGATACTTGCACAAAATGCAACACTGTGGATGTCTATTATGGAGGCAACGGTCTTCACAATTCCACATACAAAAGAAGCCTGACTGGCAACTCTCCACACCCACTAACAAGACCGGCACTGAGGATTATCTTGTGCCTCCAAATATTAAAATCCTGTGCAGTGCATAGATTGAAAGCTCTCTCCTTGAGACTCTTCTGAGTACCACCGTGCTCCCCTCTAGCTCAGGTTAAGGACAGGTGAGGGTGCCCACTGTGCCTGCTGACTGCTAGGCTTTCTGAGTGACACTTCCTTCTTGTCACCTCTCCTGTCCACAGCAGCAAATACGAACAGAACAAGCAAGAAACTGAGATTGACAGCTATGAGCAAGCTGGAGAAAACCCGGTAGATGTTGAGCTGTAGAGAGGCTCTGCTCCTGTTTTTCTACAATTCCTTAGCACAACAAAGCAAGACTGAATACTCAGCACCTCTGAAGGGAGGCAGACAGGCAAAGCAAGAAAATGTTTACAATAATGTTGCTCACTTTGCCCCGTAGCTGCTCTGTAGCTGTCTGCAAGAAAGGCCAGCTAATTTGAATTGGCAATCAGAGGGTACACTGCATAAAAGAACACTAATACCCAAATACAGTTCTGTGTGCTGGGTTTGTGGTCAGTGGTGTGTGCTCAAATGCATGAGGCCCCAGGTTCAATCTCTAACATCCCACAGAGAATCTGCAAGGCTCTCAAATGCTTGGCTGTTAGAACAGCGAGATTCCCAAAACAATACTCTTGTGCTTCCAGTGAAAACAAATTTTCCTCAAATAGAGAAGGGTTAGTGTCAACAGTGGTCAGTCAATGTTGTTATACCTTGCTCTCTGGAGTAAGACAGTAATTCAATAACATTTACGATGTAGTCATACGTAGTCTATAGGCTAACTGGGAGAGTGTGCACAGTTAACTGCTTAGGGATTTAGATTTGGTTAGTGCCCACACTCTGAACAAGCCTTTAAATTTCATCTTTACTTCAATGAATTATCTCTGGCCCATCTTTGATTGCCTCTAGATTCTCTAACACACTTTGTCTGCATCACAGTCACACAGCTGGTGTTCGAAAGTAGATTGGAGGGTAGTAGTGGTGCTGGACACTGAACCCAGGGATCCTCTAACCTCAGAAGTGGGGATTAAAAAAAGAACAGAACGCAGCTGGGCATGGTGGTGCATGCCTTCAATCCCAGGATTCAGGAGGCAGAGGCAGGCAGATCTAGAGGCCAGCCTAGTCTGCAAAGTAAGTTCCAGGATAGCCAGGGCTACATAGAGAAACACTGTCTTGAAAAACCAAAAAACCAACCAAACAAAACAAAACAAAAAAAACCCGCCACGAACAAACAAACAAAATGCCATCATTCTGTTTTACAGAAATAGAAATGATAGAGAAGAAAACGATATCATTGGAAAACCATCAAATGACCTGTAGCAGTAGGTACACAGCAGCGGGAATCAAATGAATTAAAAACAAGCTACACTTAGAACCACACTGCATTCTAAAGGTTCTCTTGAAAAACTTGTTCAGTGCGGCTTCCTGTGCCACACCAGGTTACGCAAAAGTCCAACTCTTCACTACTTTTTGTTTGACACAACAGGTTTTTGCCTTTTGAAAGGGCCTGTGACTGCATTCCCCAAGCAGCCAACCTATCTTTACCATGCGGCTGTTGCCTAGGTAACCAATTCATCCAAATAAAAGATTTATACACAATAGAAAAAAGGAAATCAAACTAGACGCTATAGCCTTCTACAAGCCTCACAGGATTGCTCACACCTGTGTACCATGCACACGGAAAGTCACAGGAGTCCCGCCCGCCCTGGTGAGTGTGGGACCTTAACTAAAATTGGCTTTTGAAGTTCATCCTCTGGACAAACTCTCTGAGATGACTGAGCACAGCCAGTCTGGGCACGTCTGCTCCCACAGTGAAGATGATCAGGAGGTATGTCATCACTGGGTTAAAGGCACTGCCACAGAAAATCTGTAACCCAGAGCTGTGAAACCGCACACGCCCACCAGAGCCTGTCACAGGCAAATCATGAGATGTGCCCACCAATCTGGATCTGATCCCTGCCATCAGTGTGGATTTCTGGCTTTCTACCAGAAAGCATATTCTTGGCAAGCTGTTTATTGGTTACACACACCAAACAAATGCTTCACC